GAAAACTTCCTTTTTATTATAGGAAACTGAACGTCTTCCCGAATCAAGAAAGTTAGAGCTTAATGGGTATCTTACAAAGCCTACAACCCGTCTTGGAAGATATCCATTACTCCTTGAAGCTGTTCTCAAAAATACTCCTTGCGATCATCCTGATAAAGTTAATATACCAAAGGTAATCAATATCATCAAAGAATATTTAACGAATGTTAATATTGAGTCTGGGAAATCGGAAAATCGTTTCAATTTACAACAATTAAACGATCAATTGATTTCTAGAGGGAATGTGGTATGTAACTTTAAACGTTTCAATCCTAAAATATGTCATTTCTCCCGTTAGATTATTAAATATTATGCTAATGAACTAATAACTTCATAGGATTTGAAATTGACTGAAGAAGGACGTCAGCTCGTCTTCAAGGGTTCTTTAAAGAAACCTACTCGAGCTGGTGAACCCTCAGATTTACAAGTGTTTTTGTTCGATCATGCTTTATTAATGGTGAAAACTAAAACTGTAAATAAGGCTGAACTATATAAAATTTATCGAAAAGTACGTGAAATAATTTTGTATTTGATCAAAATTCACTTAGATGGTTTTTTTAACATGATACTTTTTTACTCATTTTATAGCCCATTCCTCTTGAATTATTGAGCATTTCAACATCGGAAGGACAATCTGAAACTGCCCGTGCGAATGCGAAACGGCCACAGTCAATATTACACGGGATGCCTGGAAAAGGGCAAGCAGCTGCTCGTGGAAATAACAGTAATCAATTTGCATTAACGCTATGTTGTCTCGGAAAAAAAGGTTTTGCGGTAACTTTATATGCAACGACGATTATTGGTCGCAAAAAGTGGATCGAACATATAGAAAAACAAAAAGAACTCAATGAAAAGGGGAAGGTATTTGAGAAAACTGTATTAATAGAAAAAAGACATTTTCATGAAACACATAAGATTCTTTGTGCTGTATTTTTTGGTAAATTATTTATATATAAAGTCATTTATTTCTCACAAAAACTCTTCGATAATAATAATACTTATTATTATATTTATTTCAATTTTCCCTTGCTTAGATGATTATCGAAAATTAGCCTTTGGAACGGATAATGGTGTATATGTGCTAGATATTGGTCAAAATCAAAAGTCTGCAGTTCAAGCATTGCAAATAGAAAAAGTATCTCAAATTGAAATTCTTGAGGATTATCGATTATTATTTATATTAGCTGGTAAGGGTAAGTATTTATAAAAATTCAATTAGTTTTCCTTTTCTGAGAAAGACATCATCGTGACTATTTTCTTAAATGACGATAATTTTTTAAGACAAAAGTCTATATTCATATCCAATCGATGCATTGGACCCTGGTGATACTAATGGGGCCAGTAAACGTTCAAAAAAAATCAGCGCACATACCAGTTTCTTTAAGTCAGGAACTTGTCGCGGAAAAACTTTAATAACAGTTGTAAAAAACAGTACACTTCAATCGACTATCAAAACTTTGGAACCTCTTGAACAAAATGTTAAAAATAAGATTAAAGGACCTACTTTTAAAGTCTTTCGTGGAAGTAGCGATGTATTAAAAACATATAAGGTAGTGTTGTGATACTGACATATCTTGATTGAAATCTTCAAGTTTTGAATTTTGACTGATATATATATATATATATGTAATTCACCTTGATTTTTTTTTATACTTCAGGAGTTCTGTATACCTGCAGAATTAACGTCAGTTCATTATCTAAAAAAGAATCTAATCGTAGGTTGTACAAAAGGATTTGAAGTAGTTAATTTGGAGACTCTTAAAACGCAAGGTTTACTACATCCGGAAGATATTTCACATGAATTTGTACTTAAAAAAGAAAATGTAAAACCCATTGCTATTTATCGTGTGGGGGGAGGCGATTTTCTATTATGTTATGATGGTAAGTTTTG